TTCCTTTTTTTTTTTTGACTACTGAAGTTATCCTGTAAGGTAACTAAATATTGTGATGTGTATCATATTTAGAATTTTCTCCAGGTTATTGTGGCTTAGTGATATTGTTATTGTACTTTCTCCAGGTTTATGAGGCCAGACTTTTTCGTCTTAACAAGGGGAAGCGTGGAGAGGTGATTACGTCTGCTGAGGAGGCTGTAGATCTGCAGAAGAAGAAGTCTGCACTGAATCGTTTCTATACTACTCTAGCCCGAACAGACAAAAATTCAGGTTCAGCTACCGCCGAATATGAAGATTTTGGAAAGAAGAGGGACTTAGAGGACATTATGGTGCGTAATGATCATATATTGCTTCTGCCTAAAAGAATGATTGTTTTCACTTTGGCTATAGCAGCAGCAGCCTTTGCACTTCTGCACCTTTCTGTCAAGTTCTTATATAGACTGCCAAAGACTGGAAGAAGTTAAAAGCTCTTGTCAAATTTTGTCAGATTGTGGTGTTCATAGTAATATAGAATATGTTGAGCCAACGACTGGAAGAAGCTAGAGCTATATCCAATTATTAAATGTGGTTATAACTACTCTAATGGAGGCAACAGACTTTGGTTATTTACTGCTGTTAATTCCTCTTCCACCTTCTCTGGTGAGATTGCTGTTAGCGGTGCTCAGCCTGAGTGGTTTCCCTTTTACCTTGAATGACTTGGTCTGAACCTCTCACATCCACCCTGTAGTAACAAAGTACATATTTATCAAGAATCATGTATTTCATGGAGAGAGATTCTGCTACAGACTTCTTTGAATTGCAAGAAAAGACTTAATACTATGATGTCAATTTAAATGTGTCGCATCTTCCACACATTCTGAATTTACAATTGCAAATTGAGTTCCCCAATATCATATATACGAACATTTCTTTATCTTTTGACTGGTGTGATATGGAAAATTTGGATTTCAGATTTGAGCATGAGTTGCGTGTAATATCTCATTCTTTGGTTCTCCGTTTCCTGTCATTAGTCAGGATAAGACCTGCATAGTTCGAAGCTTTGACGTAGGCAATCCTTAATGATTGTGCAATTTAATAGGTGTCGAAAGCTCCATCTGATTTGGAAGTAGTGTTGGGCCTTATTAAAAGCAACTCCAGGGGCCTATTAGATGCTGAAGGTGTATTGGCAGCCAAAAAACAGCTGCAGCTTCTTGAGGTATCTCCAAATCAATGCCCTTGTCAGAACAGTTGTCTTTTTTATTTGATTTTCCTTTGGAGATTCCATTCTTATGGTCTATTAAAGTCTGTTCCAGAGAAATACTTCACAACCAGCATCTTGACGACATGAATACATGTGTATCTTTATGTAAGGTATTTCACTCTATAGTTCTGTGTAGGGGATGCGAAAGGAGTATGCTCAAGCAAGGCTCCTGTCGACAGCTCAAGCACATGTTCTACGTGCTCATGATGAGATTATGATGGCAACTTCTCGACTACGCCTAAAAGAGGATGAGAATGACAAATCTATTGATGCCTTAGATCAAGGAGAATTAGATGCAGCCAGTGCTGAATGGTCCAGCGAAAAGTTTTTCTTTTTATCTTCTTTGTCAAGAACAAAGGGACAACTTCGCTACTTAAAGGTAACAACAGAAGGTTTAGAGTTTTCCAATGTTTAATATGAATTATTATGAAATTCAGGAAAAGTCACCTGGACGTGTATTCATATCACGCTTCGGTCTTAGACATTACTGGAACTCCGCATTTCGCAATTAAACCAGTTTGGTCTAAGAACTAATCCCAGTCAGTTTGTTGTCTAATCAAAGAAGCAACTCAAGTTGTTGGAGTTTTAAATTATCATCAAGTTAGTGCAACATTTAGTGATGAGACAGTTGACTTTTGAGAATGCTGTTATTTAGGCACTGATAGGTTAGGTAGATTAGGTCAATCGATGTTGCATTTCAAGGAGAGACAGATCCCTTTCTCAGTTCTATATCAAAGGCTTAGGACATTGAAAATATGGTGCAACTGTGAGTGTTCTTTATGATAGATGGTGACGAGTGAATGCCAAGTAATGCATCATGTCTCTCTTATGGTACATTTTTGAATTTTGGTAGGTTTGTGATTGCTGATAAAGTTCCAAGTTTGGCAACATTTCTGACACTTTGCACAAAAACCTTTCTCTTGATTCTAGAAAATAAGTTAGATACTCCTGATGTTGCCACAATATTCTGTTCCTAAATGGTCCTGAAATGTACCCAAGAAGAAGAAAAGGTCGAAGACACTTGAGTCTATGTTTGTGCATGTATTTCTTTTGGCTTGTGGAACCCCTCCCCCACCCTCCCCTTTTTGCTTTTAAGATTTTCGAGGCGGATGCAGGCATTTTTCATCTTTAGTTACTCTTTTCTCTGATATACGAAGAGAAAGCCAACTTACCAGTGACTTTGGATGTCTAATTGTTCGGCACTAGAATCATATAAAGCGGCATCTCCCCTTCATATATCAAGTTTACAAACAACTGCTTCTTATCTGCATTAGCAGTTTTCGAACTGATTATGTGTGTTCACAGTCCTGTGGATGTTATCTTTAACAGGGTTTGGTTCAATCTAAACAAAATAATCATTGTGCAAGTAGTGAAAATTCAACTATAGCTCAAGCCACAATGGACTCAGCGGCTCATGCAGAAGAAAAAACGGAACACCAAGCTAGAACAGAGGAACGTACATGCCCTGTTTGTCAAGAGAAGCTCAATAACCAAAAGATGGTTTTCCAATGTGGGCATGTCATTTGCTGTAAATGTAAGTTTCTAATCACCTGGTATCCCTCTTTCCAGCTTCAAGTCACTGTAATTGTAAATGTACTATTTTATATTACTTATTTGTACTTATTGTAGATTTTGAGGAAAAAAAAAGCTTCTTGTAGTTATGTGTATATTTACATCCCATGAGCAAGGGAATTTATACAAAGCTCCTAATGCTAATTAAGGAAATAAAATAAATCTATACAATCAATCCAGCTATCAAATAAAATAAAATCAGAATAAAATCAGATCTCCTAAATATAATCAAATCACCTGAAATCATGCTAATCAACACTCCTAAATCAAGTCTCCTTGAATTATGCTAATCAACACTCCCCCTCAAGTTGGTGCAAAGATGTCGCACTTGCCCAACTTGCAACTCAAAGTATGGAAAGTTCGCTTGTTGAGACCTTTGGTAAACACATCAGCTAGTTATTTTTCCGATGGCACATGAAACATACTCAAGACACCAGTTGTAACTTCGATCAATTTCCACATGCTTTGTTCGGTCATGCTGGACTGGATTATGAGCTATATTGATGGCAGCCTTATTGTCACAGTACAAGGAAAGTTTTTCTTTTTCAGATAGTTTTAATTCCTGTAGTAGCTTTTGTAGCCAAAGCAGTTCGCAAACATCATGGGCCATAGCTCTATATTCTGCCTCCGCAGTTGATCTAGCAACTACACTTTGCTTCTTGCTTCTCCAAGTAACCAAGTTTCCTCCTACGAGCGTACAGTAACCGGATGTTGATCTTCTGTCATCTAGAGATTCAGCCCAATCCGCGTCTGTAAAGGCTTCTATTTGGAGGTGATCATGTTTGGAGAAAAGTAGACATTTCCCTGGAGCAGACTTCAGATACTGCAAAATGTGAAAGACAACTTGCATATGAGGATCTCGGGGATCATGCATGAACTGACTCACCAGGCTATGTCTGATCTAGTGTGGGAGAGATAAATGAGTCTTCCAACCAGCCTCTAATATCTCTCCTTGTCAACTGATTCTCCAACTCCGCTATGTAACTTGTGATTGCTTTCAATGGGCGATTCTGCGGGTCTGCAACCTGTCATACTAGTTTCTTTCAAGAGATCTAGAATATACTTCCTTTGAGAAATAAAAATTCTTCTTTTGGATCTAGCAACCTCAATTCCCAAGAACCGTAATTTTCCTAGATCTTTGATCTCAAATTCATGTGCCAACAACTTCTTCAATCTAGACATCTCCTCTTTGTCATCTCCTGTCATTACTATGTCATTAACATAAACTATGAGAAGAGTGAGTTTACCTGTTTAATGTCTTATGAAGATGGTGTGATCAACATTGCTTTGTTGGTAACCGAAGGAGATCATTGCTTTGCTGAATCTGTCAAACCAAGCTCTGGGGAATTGCATCAGTCCGTATAAGGCTTTTTTCAATCTGCATACCTTTCCTTGATTCTGTGCAGTATCAAATCCAGGAGGATTCTCCGTATACATCTTTTCTTCTAAGTCTCCATGAAGAATGTATTCTTCACATCAAACTGTTGCAAGTCCTAATCAAGATTAGCTGCACAAGATAAAAGAATTCTAATAGTGTTATCTTAGCAACTGGGGCAAATGTCTCTTGATGATCCACTTCATTAGTCTGAGTGAATCCCTTAGTCACCAATCTTGCTTTAAATCTTTCAATTGAGCCATCAGCTTTGTGCTTCATAGTGAAGACTCATTTGCAGCCAACCAACTTTTTGTCTGGTGGTGAAGTGACAAGTTCCCAAGTCTCATTTTTTGACAAGGACTTCATTTCTTCAATCATAGCTTGCTTCCATTTAGGATCTGCACAAACTTCCCTCCAATTCTGGGGAATAGACACAGAAAAAATAGACAAGGCAAAGGCTCTATAGGAGGGAGACAAAGAATTACAGGAGACAACATTAGATAAAAGGTGTTTGGTGGTGCAAGATCTGGCTCTTTTTTTGTGAGCAATAAGTTCATCTAACTCATTAGGAAATGTAGATAACTCACCAGTAGAATGAGGTTCAGTTTCGGTAGATTGCATGATGGCTTCTTCTGCTCTATTTTTCCTTGAGAAGTTTTCAAATCAGGCCTATCCAAATGCTCAATAGTCTCCCCCGAATTCTTTCTCCAATTTCACTTTCCCTTGTGACAATGTCATCAAAAGGTCGAGTAATGGAACTAGGTAGAATCAACTCCTCTTTCTCTCCCCCGAAGAGGTGATGAGGTAATACTGAAATAGGGCTCAAATTCTCGAAAGGTAACATCCATGCTAACAAAAGATCTCCTAGAGGGAGGATGATAACATATGTAACCTTTCTGTGTCGGAGAATACCCAATGAAAACACACTTTATAGTTCTAGGATCAAGTTTCCCAGAATTTCTAGTGTGGACAAAGCAAACACACGCAAATATCTTTAGAGGAACATTATATTCATTCTTACCCTTTAAAGTTTCCAGAGGACTTTGAAAATTGAGAGGTTTAAGTGGTATTTTGTTTATAAGATAGGCAGCCGCTAGAATAGCATCCCCCAGTAAGGTTTTGGTAGATGCATGGTGAACATAAAAGATCTTGCTACTTCCAACAGATGCCTATTCTTTCTTTCAGCGACCCCATTTTGTGCACTAGTGTAAGGACAACTAGTCTGATGGACTATCCCATTGGACTCCAAATAAGCACCAAATCTTTTATCCATGTATTCGTTGCCATTGTCAGTTCTCAAGATTTTTATTTTGGCATCAAACTGAGTACAAATCATCTTATGAAATGACTGAAAACAAGAAAAAACTTCACTTTTGGCTTTTAACAAATATACCCAAGTCATCCTAGTGCAACAATCAATGAAAGTAACAAATCATTGACTACCAGACAAAAAAAGTCTGAGTAGGACCCATACATCAGAATGAATAGTCATAAACGGAGTTCTGCTTCTATTATCACTCACAGGATAAGAGTTTCTAGTATGCTTGGCATATTCACACGCATCACAAAACAAAGATTCAAATCGAGTCCTTGAAAACAAATCGGGATATAACTTCTTCAAAACAAAGAATGATGGGCGTCCTAACCGTCGATGCCGTTGTATTATTTCTTGGTTGACATCCTTACTTTCCCCAAAAAAGGCTTGACCAGAGTTTTGAATCTCATCTAATATATACAAGTCATCACGCAATCTACCACTGCCAATCCTTTTTCCTGTTTGAAGATCCCGAAAAATACAATGATCGGGAAAGAACTCGATTTTAGAGCTTTGGTGATGGCACTAACAGATAAAAGATTGACAGGGAACTCAGGGACATGGAGCACAGATGATAGTTTAATATTAGGAGTACAGATGACAAAACCTGTTCCAGAGATAGGTGTTAAAGAACCATTGGCTATTTTAACATTATCTCCTTTATGACACGGAGAATAGTTTTGAATGCCATTAGAACAGCCTGTCATGTGTCTATTTGCACTAGAATTGACAATCCAAGAATTAAGGTGAGCAGCAAAAGCAGTATCTGATTGCACATGATTGGATGTGGCAACATTAGCGGAGTCAAGTTTGGCTAGGAGGCGATGGAGAAGCTGAATTTCATCCGAAGACAAGATTTCTCCAGAAACCGTCCCCTTGAATGTCTCCATATTTCAGCCCAATCAGAAGGAAATCAGAAGGAGTTTGTGTTGCGGACAGCTAACAAGAGAGAGAAAACTCGACTTCTTTGATAAAAACGGAATCCTAGTGCTGTGAGAGTGATAACTCACCTCAAAAAGGCAGCAATGGTTCTGATACCATGTAGATTTTGAGAAGATGAAGAAAAGGCTTCTTGTATTTCTGTGTATATTTACATCCCATGAGCAAGGGAATTTATACAAAGCTCCTAATGCTAATTAAGGAAATAAAATAAATCTATACAATCAATCCAGCTATCAAATAAAATCAAATAAAATCAGATCTCTTAAATATAATCAAATCTCCTGAAATCATGCTAATCAACACTCCTAAATCAAGTCTCCTTGAATCATGCTAATCAACACTTGTCAATAGTAAAATTTGCTGAACCTTGGTATATAAATGCTGTATCTGGAAAGCTGTAAGTTATAATTTGTGAGAAGGCACGGGAGAAAATATGTTATTGATATTGGATGATAAATACAATACAAGAGGTCCCTATTTATAGCTATACACTACAAGGAGATATTACTCCTCTTCCAATGTGGGACAAGACTACACTATACATATCTATAAACTAACACTCCCCCTCAAGCCGGTGCATACACATCATATGTACCGAGCTTGTTACACATGTAACTAATACGAGAACCAGTAAGAGACTTAGTGAAAATATCTGCTAGTTGATCATTCGACTTTACAAACTTTGTAACAATATCTCCTGAAAGTATTTTTTCTCTGACAAAGTGACAGTCGATCTCAATGTGTTTAGTCCTCTCATGGAACACCGGATTTGACGCAATATGAATAGCAGCTTGGTTATCACACACTAGTTCGATCTTGCTGATTTCTCCGAACTTTAACTCCTTGAGCAACTGCTTGACCCAAACTAACTCACACGTCACCATAGTCATGACCCGATATTCGGTTTCGGCGCTAGATCGAGCAATTACATTCTGTTTCTTGCTCTTCCATGAGACCAAATTACCTCCTACTAGAACACAATATCCAGACGTAGAACGTCTATCAAAAGGTGAT